TCCCCTTGCCCCTTGGTGAACACTGTTCTTTCTATCTCTATTCTAGGTGGAATCCTCCAATCTTTGCCCTTTTGTGTCAGGCTTATTTCATTTAGCATGATGTTTTCAAGGTTCATCCATATTGTAGCATATATCAGAATTTCATTCCTTTTTATGGCTGAAATAATATTGCATTGTATGCATATACTGCATTTTACTCCATTCTTCTGTTGGTAGACATTTGAATTGTTTTCACCTTTTGGCTGTTGTGAATAATGCAGTGAACATGGGTGTACAAATAGCTGTTAGAGTCTCTGCTTTCAGTTCTTTTGGGTGTATATCCAGAAGTGGAATTGCTGGATCATACAGTAATTCTTTGTTTTATTTTTTGAGGAACTGCTATACTGTTTTCCACAGCAGCTGCACCATTTTACATTTCACCAGCAATGCACAAGGATTCCAATTTCTTCACATCCTCACCAACACTTGTTTTTCTGTTTTTTGATAATAGCCATCCTAATGAGTGTGAAGTGGTATCTAGTTTTGATTTGCATTTCCCTAATGATTAGTGATGTTGAGATCTTTTTATGTGCTTATTGGCCATTTATATATCTACTTTGGAGGAATGCCTATTCATGTCCTTTGCCCATTTTGAAATTGAGGTGTTTATTTTTTGTTGCTTGATTGTAGTAGTTTCCAGCCAGATTTTTGAGGAAAGAGTTTGAGGTATTTTCCTGAAGCGCAGGTATTTATGTGACTGATTAATGGTAGATGGATGAATTTTAAAGGTTACCTAGATAGGTGGTCAATTCAACCATGACTCCAAGTGTTCCATACAGGTAGATCTTGTAGGTAGAGTACTAACAGCAGCACTTGTAGGCAAAAAGCTGAGATTTTCCTTAATTTAAGAGTTTAACACCTGGGCTGGCCCCATGGCTTAGCGGTTAAGTGCGCGAGCTCTGCTTCTGGCGGCCCGGGGTTCGGATCCCAGGCGCGCACCGATGCACCGCTTCTCCCGCCATGCTGAGGCCACGTCCCACATACAGCAGTGCAACAATGACATACAACTATCTACTGGGGCTTTGGGGAACAAAAAAAGGAGGAGGATTGGCAATAGATGTTAGCTCAGGGCTGGTCTTCCTTAGCAAAAAGAGGAGGATTGGCACAGATGTTAGCTCAGGGCTGATCTTGCTCACAAAAGAAAAAAAAAAAAGAGTTTAACACCTGAACAGATGACATGCAGGTCCCCAGAGTTCTTACAGAGCATGGTTTTGGCCTGGAAAATCCCCAAGCAGGAATGAATCATTTACTAAGGCCATAGAAAAATCTGAAGAGTATACCCATTGTGCTGAAAATGTTCCAGGCTTAGATAGTGGTGATGGTTACACAACTTTATGAGTATACTAAAAACCACTGACTTGTACACTTTAGAAGTTAACTTTGTGCTATGGGAATTATATCTCAATAAAAGAAAGGAATAAAGAAAACCCACCGAATATTTGGTTTAAAAGTAATGTAGCTTCCTTGTGAGCCTGCCAGAGTTATGAAATGTATCTCTCTAAGTAACTAACCATATTGATGATGCTTTTGAGTTTGTTCACTCAGCAAATATTTATTGAGCGCCCATTATGTGCCTGGCACTGTGAATACACCAATGAACAAAACAAAGTCCCTACCCTCAACGAGTTTATGTTTTAGTGGTGGGAGATGGAAATAGAATATGATATGATTTCAGGTAATGATAAATGCTATGGAGAAAAAAAGCAGAAACAGGAAATAGAGTGACAAGAGTGTGCAGTGTTAGACAGGATAGCCAGGGAAAGCCTCTCTGAGGAACTAAATTTAAGCAGAGACCAGAATTGAGTGAGCAACTGAAGAGTCTCTGGGGAAAGAGCATCCCAGTTTGAGGGAACAGCAAGTGCAAAGGCTTTGTGGCAGGAATATGCTTGGTGTGTTCAAGGCACGGCAAGAAGGCCAGAGCAGAGTGAGTCGGGAAGAATGAGGGAAAGGTTGGAATGGTCGTCATAGAGGGCCCTTTTAAGTGATAGTAAGTATAAGGACTTTAGATTTTGTTTAAAATGTGATAGAAGGCCTTTGGAGGATTATTGTGTAATTTAGAAACCAGTTAAATGTTGGTGAACATCTGCCAAAAATAATCACTTTAAAAAAAAATTTTACTTGATGTTAATACATTATTTCTGAGAGCTGTTACATGCCAAACTAAGTCTCAGGAACCACATATGTTTCAGACAGAACCATATCCTCTGGGTATAGGAGGTTACTTCTGTTTTCTACAGGAGAGGGAAAAACATGCAGTAGCAGTATTAATTCATTAGCATGTTTTAAATGCCTTATCTCACATCCCCTGTAAGCCCTATTTTTCTTTCCCATTGCCACTTGCCTAGTTAATGGAGGAAACTTACCTCTCTCCTTTCTCTCCTCTTCCTTTCTTTTGTGAGTCCTGGATAGCACTGATTATGATTTTTTAAAAATTACAAGTAAAGTTGATTACCTATATGTAGAAGGAAAGCTAAACATTGTGATGTAAAATTAGAAATAGTAGAGTTCCTTGAAATAACTATAAAGGTCACTCTTAATTGTTTAACCTCCTCTTAAGAAATTGTTTTTCTCTGTTTATTAGCACACAGTTTTTTAAAAAAATTCTTATTCAGTTACTTGGTTCAGTTGTTGACTAGTATAAAAGTATTTGGTATTTTAGCCATAGCTTTTGTACCACTGAGTTCCTCAATATGATATAACTTATTATTCCGAGAAAAGTTAATGTCTTGTTCTTTAGAACTGAATTTTTAGATAACTTTTTAATTGTAATTTATTCATAAATTGAAGACTGTCTTCCTCGACATTGTTTTAATGTCTAAGAGAAAGAAATATTACATAACTGAAAGATTTAAAAAATTATGTTGAAAGAAGCTTTATTATATATTAGTTCTGCATCCATCAATGTTAACTTTACTGAATGTTTATATGAAACCAAAAAGTACTGCAATATAATAGGAAGCTGATCTTCTAATTATTATAGATAAATGTGAGTTGTTGGTATAGAAAGGTCTCAGTTAATAAGTTCTCTTGCCAATATTAGGTGTGTTATACTATTTTCCTCCTGTATAATTATAATAATATATTTTCTTTTTATTTAAAGCTTGCAAACACAGAAGAATACATAGATGGAGCATTGTCTGGACATCTGGGTGAAGTTTTAATAAGGTAACAGAACAGCAGTAGTATATGTAAGGAGTTACTGGTGAGCATTAGAAATACCTGTTTAAATAAATTTTTTAGTACCTCAATTTCGGAATTACTTTTTTTAATCACTATTAATTTGACATAATATTCTACAACTAGACTTCAAGAGTCTTTGAAATTTTTAAACTTGACAAAGAAGATTTTACATTTTTTGGAGCTGTTCATCCTTAAGATTTTTCTAGTGTTGATATTAAACTTTCTAGCTCTCAGCTATAACCTTTTTCAGTGGTTTTAGTTGGAGAAGCTTGGTTTTGAATTTTAGTTGGGTCTGGTTAGCTTTAGTTGGCTGCTGTTAGAGATTTTTGTTATACTCATTTTCTAGAACTAGCTTCACACCTCCAAATTCTAGTCATTATTCTCTTTGGAAGATCAGAGCGATACCATTTTATAACAGCCACATGGTAAAAAAAATAAGTGCTGTACGCTTTTTAACAAATCAATGGTAAAACTTTTTTTTAAAAAAGAGAAAGAAATGATATATTGTAAATTTAGCCGTCAATATTTCTGTAATAAAAAAATATAGTCTAGTAATAGTAATTCAGATCTTATATGGTTTATGGTTGGAACAACAAAATGAACTGTTTTTCTATTTACAGGTGTAATAATGTCCTTTATATCAGGGGTGTTGAAGAAGAGGAAGAAGATGGGGAAATGAGAGAATAGCATCTTTTGTGGGGGATTTTTTATATATATTTCTAGACAATAAAGATCTGTTTGTTTTTCACCTTGACTTGTGAACTATTCATATTCAGATATTTACATGTAGAGCTCAAATGTTGAAACAATTGAAAGATTATTCACAGAACTAATGCTTTAAAAGCCACCCAAGTTGGTTTTCTTTTGTCAGCCCAATAATCTATTTTTTTTCTATAAGGGGAAATCATTTATATGCTTTATAAATGTCTATGAAAGTGAATTTCAGCCCTTTTCTTATAATTTAACTGAGACCTTTTAAAAGCAACTTGTTTTAAGTTACTGAGCCACTTTTGACATGTATAAAGTTAAATATTTTCTTAGAATTAATATATACTGTATTATTTTACTTAATAGTCAACAAATTACATGTTAATTCTCTATCAATGTAAGTTAAATAATGTACTTATTATAGCTAAAATTGAAACATCACCTGAAAATTAAAATGATTGTGGATATAGAGTATAACAGAAATTGTGAATTGACATTTAGGCTGAAGGCATATGATTTGTTCACTTGAGAGAATTAAGTTTTCTGAACAGAACTCCTTAAATGTGAATTAAAAACCAGTCTCACACTTATGTTCTGAGAACATAATCTAGTGGTTTTCATTTAAGTTTTAAACTCAAAACCTTTTAGATATTTTATACGTTGTTAAAATGTGTATTCCACGGTGATAAAATGTATGCTATGAACCTTCGTGCTGACTGGTTGGAAAAAAAATAGATCATTTAAAGTCTCATGTTGTCAGAGAATGCCTTTATTGCACTTTAATGGTCATTCACCATATGGTAACATCAGTAAAGTAACCTTGGATGTATCCCCAAGTGGGACAACTCAAAATATAGATATAAATGTTTAGCTGTATAGAATGATACTTAGGATATGATAATAAAAGGCTTCAACAAAAGAAAATCACTCCTATCCCCAGTGCTATAACCTTTAGAATAAGGGCCTGTTTTCTTCAAATTGGTTAGGCCAACATATGGGGCAGAATATTGCCATTACTGAAAACCAGAATCTATAAAATATGCCTAAAACATTCTGGTAATAAATGAAAATATTCAAGTGAAAAAATATTCTTCCTCTAGTGGTTTTGTTCTTGTATCGTTGACTAAATGTAGTTCATGTTTATTACCAGATGGAGGTTTTGAGCGATAGACAAGTCGTCTCCCCAGCTGAAACAAAGGAAAACATACTTAATGTTCTTCAGCATCACCATTTTCTATTGAAGTATAAGTAAAATACTAATATTAACTTGATTTTTCCAAGGAATAATATGGTTTAAAATAGTAAATAATCAGTTACAAAGGGATTGATAACCTAATGGATGTCCAGTATGCTAGGCAAAGTTAAATAACAAATTGAGCACCATAATATGCAGAAGACAGAGCAGTTAGGTTTTATGGGGAAGTGGGGAGATTTAGGTAAAGTCATCAAATAGTGTATGTTTCAGATAAGATCACCCCAGAAAAACACCATGTTTGAGGCCAACATTTCATTTCTCAGTAACTGCCATAGCTACTTTCTCCTCCATTGGTTAGAAAATACTGCCTTCCTCTTCTGAGCACCAGTTGACTGGCATTTAAAAATCCTGTTAAACAAAAACTTGAGAAAACCATGTACTATCTTAAACACTAGTAATCCTCTTGGCTTTTGGCATTGTTCCCACCAGGAGAGTCTTATGGAAACCCCTAGATTCACACCTGTTCATTCTCTCTGGGGCATATACTCAAGTATATCATACTACTCATTTTTCTCTTTTAGTCTTTTTTTCACCATTTATTTTTTGTTTCTGTTTTGCTTTTTTATCTGAATTTGTATAAATAGATAAGAGAAGTATTATATTCTGTAATATAAAACAATTATATTCTGTTGGACATGAGACTTGATGGGACATCTCCATTGTCTCAAAAGGGGCACTGTCCCTATGTGAGACTGTCCCCTGCATTGCAGAATGTTTGACATTCCTGGCCCCAGGGAACTAAATAACAATAGTACTCCTCCCCATCAAAAATATGCTTAGGGGACTAGAATCCCTGAATTCCTTTTCTAGTATCAGAATTTTATTTTTTTTTTCCCACTGTCAGTGATCTTTGTAACCTTTGTTACTACTACTGTCTGAGAAAACTTCCAGTGATGAAGTGTCCTAACTGGGTAAGAACTTCTGTCAGAGGTCTTCATACATTGTCAACTTATCAGATCACCATTTTTTTTTTTTCAATTTTCTTCCAGTTTTAGTTTTCATTCTCATTTTTTAGTCTGTTAATTCAGTAAGCATTTATTGAGTATCTGCTACGTGCTAGGCATTGTGGATACAAAGGTCATAAAACTCATTCCTGGTCTAAAAAGAAAGATGGATATATTAAAAAATAATCATTTCAATTTGGTGAGTTTAGTCAATAGTAGTACATGTGGAAGGATGATGAATGGTTAATTCTCCCTTGGGAGGGGAGGACAAATCAGGTCTTTTTTTTTTTTTTTTTTTATAATTTTATTTATTTATTTATTTTCCCCCCAAAGCCCCAGTAGATAGTTGTATGTCATAGCTGCACATCCTTCTAGTTGCTGTATGTGGGACGCGGCCTCAGCATGGCTGGAGAAGCAGTGCGTTGGTGCGCGCCAGGGATCCGAACCCAGGCCGCCAACAGTGGAGCACGTGCACTTAACCGCTAAGCCACGGGGCCGGCCCCAAATCAGGTCTTTATAGGAAGAGTTGGACTAGATAAGTATGGGTCCTTTTAAAGATGAAATGCTTATTTAAATAAAATAAGGTAATTGTAACTTTTTGACATAGAACATATTAATAGTTAGCATACTTAAGAACTTTTTGTCAAGTACTTTCCTCAAAAGGCTAGTTGTGAGGTCCACAATAAGCAGTCACTACGGGTTAGCTATTACTGTGGTAAGAATCAACGTCCACATTAGCTTTGTAGATAACCATGATATTGTTTTCCTGGAATATATTTCAGACCCTAACCTAGAGGAGGGGGAATGGCATATGGAAACAAAAGGTCTCCAAACCCAGTGGGGAGTCACAGACCACATGCACTTGGTGCCTGCCCAATCCCAAACTTCTTATTGGACAGGTAATTTTGCAATATTGAGAATCTTGGCTTTTGGTCTTGATTCTGCTGCTAAATCTGAAGTGACTCTGGGTAAATCATTTTAACCTCAACTATTAATCTCATTATTTTTACAGTGTGAGGATTAGAAGACCCTTTCAGTTATATGTAATTCTCTGGGTTCACTATCTCCATTGTTAAGTGAAAGAAGCGGGTTCATAACTACCATTTGTAAGAAAAAGAATATATACATAAATACATAGAATATTTCCAGAAGGATGCAGATAAAACTTAACAGTGCAGTGGTTGCCTCCAGAGAGGGGAACTGAGGATGACTTACTTTTCACTGAATACTCTTGTATCTTTAGAACTTTGAATATTTGAATAGGTAATATTCTTGTATTACCTATTCAAAAATTATTTTTAGGGCCAACCCTGGTGGCCTAGTGGTTAAGTTCTGCACGCTCTGCTTCGGCAGTCCGGGTTCGGTTCCCTGGCATGGACCTACATCACTCGTCAGTGGCCATGCTGTGGTGGCAGCTCACATACAAAATAGAGGATAGATTGGCAGTGGGTGTTAGCTCAGGGCAAATCTTCCTTAGCAAAAAAATCCACAATTATTTAAAAAAATTCTCTGGTTTTATGAACCTGGAGCTAAAGAGAAAGAGGAGAGGGAAGAGGTTTCTTTTACTAAAAAGTGGGTCTAATGGAAAACTGTAGACCCAGTAATTTCAATTATTCTAAAAGTTACAAGCTGTGAACAAGAAAGATTATTTTATTAAATTTCAACCTGGAAAAATTAGACAAATTAGGTATTTTTTTTTTTACACCACAGAAGCACTCACACATTAATGTGGCTGGACCTATTAATAATAAAACACAAACCTTTTTCTTTGGTTGTGCTACTGCTCTTTCCAGAGCAGCTTTTAGCCTTTCCTCCTGGTGTTTTTGTTTTTCTTTAATTTTCTCTTCTCGCAACCTGTCAAGAGGGAAAAACATTTTTCTAACTATGAATCACAGAAAGTAAAAAAAGATCTACGTCATTACTATTTGGTAATGAACTAATATTATAAGATCTCCTTTAAGGTTAAATGAAAATACTTCATCTTCACCCAAAACTATGGCTTCTGAATATTCAGGTGAAATCTCAACAACAAATCCTGTTTGTGTTAAAATGGGAAGAAATTGCATATCACCATTTTGGAAGAAGTAAAATCTACCCAGCTCTTGGTCAAAAACAAGCACCTCAGCAAAGCCTTCTCATCCCTCCACTTACACTTCAGCTCTTTACAGTTAGTCTGTACAATGGCCACTTGAATTAATTTCCAGCTTCTTTTAAACCTTTTTGTTGAAATATAACGTGCAGAAAAGTACACAAATCACAAGTGTATATATAGTTCAATGAATTACCACAAATGTATTCTTTCTAGTTAATCTTTTTGAATGGTATCCTCAAATTAAGACCAAGAAATGCTATTTGTCTTATTCTCTTTAGGGTTGTGAAGATAAAATTAAATGAGATGACCTATGGAAACTGTCTAGTCCAGTGCCTGGTGCAGAATAGGCAGTCAATAAGTGTTAGCTATTTATGGACGTATATAATTATAAATGTAACATTTACTGAACATTTTTAATGCAAAATTAGATGTTATGTTAGGTGCCTCCAAACCATGGGAAAAGTCACTAAAATTCTTTTTGATAAGAATTATAAATAATTGGAATTAGATTCATGTATCACTACTGAAAATAAGTTGTAATTACACTTTGATGAGAATATATTTCCTATATTGTTAGTGTTGTTAGTGTAGTCAGTCATAGATCATCTTATGAAAGGAATAATCTTTCATTTATAATTTTTTAAAAAATTTGCTTTATATTCAATAAAATCCTATCAGATCACCTTAATATATTCTGGACTTCATTTTCATATGGAGGAAACAGTATCCCTTATATACCAGTAATGTAGTAAGCGATAGCAAAACATCTGATGTTAATAGTTAATATTTGAGTACTATGTGTCAAGTATGCTTTAGTCTCTTACATAGATTATTTAATTCTCACAATAACCCTATGAGATAAGTACCATTACTACTGCCATTTTATGTATAAAGAAACAGAATTAAGAGAGGTTATGCCACCTGCCTAAGGTCACAAAAGTTGTAAATGATGGAACCTGGACTGAACCCAGACAGGTCGGCTCTCATGTGCATGCTCTTAGCCATAGTACTAGCCTGCTCTCAATGTGTTTTTTTGCTATAATCTGAACATTATTCCACCTATAAGCATTCTCTAAATGCCACATTATACTGGGGATATTATATTTATAACAATCGTTGCCTCAAAAGTAGTATAGTCACGTGCTGCATAATGACGTTTCGGTCAATGATGGACTGCATATATGGTATTTGGTCCCATAAGATTAGTACTATATAGCCTAGGTGTGTAGTAGGCTATACCATCTAGGTTTCTGTAAGTACATTCTGTGATGTTCACACAATGATGAAATCGCCTAATGATGTGTTTCTCAGAACACATCCCTGTCGTTAAGCAACACGTGACAGTATGTACATAAAATCTTTATTTAACTTGGTATGAAAATTTGTAAATCAGTGCATTCTCCTGAAAGGCCCCAAGCTAGGCAAGGATGTGGGGACATGGGGGCTGGGAGAAATATTCCAGGGATAATAATCCTCATGAGTCTTGAGGAATAAATGAGTTAATGTGTAAATGCTATGTATGTAAGTGTTGCCAGTTATGCACCCAGGAAAACCCTCATTGCATGGCTGACTTGAAAACAATTCCTTCATAGATTGAGGCTCCCTCTAGTTTTCCAATGAAGGATTCCTAATTCTATGCTTTGGGCCCTTCACCACAAGTGCAGTTCTCCTTCTGCATGATAACTCTTCACAAATTTTCATATAAGTAGTGAATATTCATTCTGAAAATTGGCTTTTCCAGGCTAAAAGGACTCCTCGCCCATTCCAAACTAGGTCATTTGCCCCTGGTGCACCCTGTTTGTCAGTTCCTTTCCTTCCCAGGGCTCATTACCACTGGTAATGACACATTTATTTCATAAGAATATTTGATGTGTCTCCCACACTAAATAATAGCTGTAGAGGAGGGCCGGGGTGGGTTTGGTTCCACTGCGTCTCAATATGTTGATCCTTGCCATATAATAGAGACTTGCTTAATGTGGAATCCAAGCAAAAACAGCTACCCATCTCATTAAGTAATTCACTACACTTATAAGACATTGACTGTACTTTAGCCGCCGTTCTTTCTGTTTTATCCTCTCAATTGCCTCCACATTTTCTTTGGGAATGGATTCAATGAGATCACTCAATTCCACCAGGCGAGACTCTACTTTTACCAGTTTTTGAACTGGGTTAAGGCTGCCAACCTCACCATCTCCGATGCAGACTTTGTATACTTGATCAATTTTTTTACTAAGAGAGTCTATCAGTTTTTCCTAAGATTGAGAAGAAAAGGAGAGCAGAAAACATAACATCTCATCAGTTTTTGCTTGTTGGTTCAATAAATGTAAAATTCCATTTTACTATATTATAATGAAAAGGCTTTTATATGCTACTAAATGTTTCCTTTTTTAAAATAAAAACTTTAATACAACATAGAACAGTGAGAAAATGCAGCAGTGATATTTATATCATAATTTATAGTCATAGTATTACTATAGTAACACCTTGGATTATTTTCTTTAAAAATATTTCAGTCTAGGTATGAAAAGTAATTATAGTAAGATACACTATCTTTTTGCTTGAATGTTTTTGTGTGTCTGATTCCCTGAGCATTCAAGTAGAGGCAACATATACTTTAAATCCTTTTTTGCTACTCCAATGTATTTCCTCGCAGCACAGCATGTGAGCTCCTTTTTTTGCACTTACTACTCTAATTGCTAAAATTATAATCATCCTGTATGAGTTTTTTGCATACATGCCTTATCTCCCCTTCTAGACTAAGCATCTGGAGGGCAGGAGCTAGTTCTTTTCTTTTTTTTTTGAGGTAACATTGGTTTATAACATAAATTTCAGGTGTACATCATTATGTTTCGACTTCTGTATAGACTACAGTGTATTCACCACCAAAAGTCTAGTTGCCATCTGTCACCGTACACATGTGCCCCTTTACCCCTTTCGCCTCCCCCCACCCCCTTCCCTTCTCGTAACCACCAATCTGTTCTAGGAGTATTTCTTATGTTTACAATTAATATCTAAAGCAGCGCCTTGTACATAACTATGCACTTAATAAATGTTTGCTGAATAAATGACTGAATGTATTCTCTCAGAGGAAAAAAAAAAGTTACAAGAAAACAGATTCCCAGGCCAGCCTACAAAAGCCTTTTGAGGAGTTTAATTTTCACTCTTTCTATTGGGAAGCTATTGCAGTATTCTAGTCTAAGCAGAGGCTTAGGCCAAACCTTGCTGATCCCTGTACCTGGCCACTGCTCCGTTTTAACTGATGGTAGAGATGCTCGAGCTTGTAGGTAACGTGTGTTGGGACCATAAGAAACTTCGCATCCTCTCTCTCCATTGTGTACCCGGCATTCGCAGCTAAGAGAATCTCAATAAACTGCTGGGCAAAGTAAATCGCTTTCCAGGTAGCATCCTGCCCCCATGCCTGCTTCTGCTCAAGGAGATGAGAATCACCATAAAAGCCAAGGACAAATAACACTCAAGACAGATGTGGCTCTAGGAGCCATGGGAAACCCCTCCTGGAATCACAGATTCCTTACAGAGCCACCAACACTTAATTATAAGTCAAGATCTGTTACCACTAGTTTACTTCCAACAGCTTGTCTCTCCTACCTCCTAATTGAACCACCTTTCTGATGGTCCTGTTTACCATATAGCCCCTCTTTTTTCTCTCTAAAGTAACACTTATTGTATTTCCTATTTATATTAAAAATATGCTCCTTTTAGAAAACTTAGAGAAGTATAAAATATAGAAGGAAAAAGTAAAAATTCTTTTGCCAGAAACCTTTTTTTCTCTCCCTTTCTAAATAACATTTATTATATTTCCTATTTATATTAGCAACACATTCCTTTTAGAAAACTTTAGAAATACAGAAAAATATAAAAGGAAAAAAAGTAAAAGTAACCCATCAAGGGGCTGAAACGTTGTACATTGGATATGAAAAAACAATATTGCTGCATTGTTAGTCAGATTTTAAAATATACATTGAACACTGGTTCTGAGAAAAAGCAACTTTAATATGAGAATGGTTAGTAGTTGATGGAAATTTCTGAAGGAGACCTTCGCAACACTTAAAGTTTTAGAGATGGTTGGGCAGTGGCCTTTCAGGATGGCTTTTTTCTCTTTTTTTGAAGTTCCCTCTGTCCAACAGGAAAAGACAGGAGAGAGATTTTCTTAAGATAACAAAGTAAGAACAGCATAAGAAATAGGATTGGGGAATGAAGTTAAAGAAAATACTCATGTATGAAAAAGAGATTGAGGGCCTGGCCCAACAGCAAAGAAAAGGGCAAAGAAAAAGAGCTCAAGGCACAGGCCTACTGATGACAGAAGCCAAGTGTCGGTCCAATCCCTGGAGCTGCCCCAGGTGGCAGGCCCAGCCCAGAGCACCTGGGAGGAGGGGGTAAGAGGGGCTGCAAGGGATGGGAGGAGCTCCTGCTGTGTGAGGTACAGTGGGGCAGGATTGTGGAAGACAATACTGGGATAAGAACTTCAGATGCCTTCCAACAGTGAATGGGAAATGATCTGACCAGAGCAATATTAGGAGGAATAATTGTATCAAAACTGAATAGGGGAGGGAGGAGATGTCTAGGTGTTATTTAAAGTCCCTTCCAACTCAAGGATTCTGTAATTCTAATCCATGTCACATTCTGCTGTGTGCTGACTGTAAACAGCTCTCCCAGTTGAACTGGATCAGCTCCCTGTTCGAAAGAACGATAAAACCAGAGATGAATACATTCTGCAAATTGAACAATGGAATAGCTTACATTCCATTTCACGTTCAGTGACAATGAACAAACAACTGCCACACAAAACACCATGGATGAGTCTAACAAACATAATGTTGAGAGAAAGAAGCCAGATAAGCCAGACATATTTTATGATTCCACTTATATAAAGTTCAAAAACATGAAGACTAATTGATGGTGAGAGGTCAGGATAGTGGTCTCCTGTGAGAGGTGGTGGAGACTGGTAGGGGACAGGGAGGAAGTCTCTGGGGGTGCTGATAATGGTCTCTTCCCTGATCTGGGGAGTGGTACACGGGTGTGTTCACCTTGAGGACATTTCTTGAGAGAGAGATACTAATGAATGATTTCTGCGCTTTTCAATATTATATTATAGTACTTGAATTTAACATTTTATTTTAAAAGTAAAATATTGAATCAATGAAAAATGATTTTAGAGATTAACTACAATTAAGAGTGTGGGGCCGGCTCCGTGGCTTAGCGGTTAAGTGTGCGCGCTCTGATGCTGGCGGCCCGGGTTCGGATCCCGGGAGCGCCCCGAGGCACCGCTTCTCCG